TTAAAGTGCTGTCTTCATATACTGGTAGGCTTTATTTTGTGAAAACCTAACTATTGCTTTGAAAGGAGAGAAATCATAGGAGTCAGTGGGTGGACTTGGAAAGATCATGTCAATATCATTTGAAAGGAAGAAAAAGCAGACTAAGATGAAAGTCTGGGCAAGTGCAGGACTGAGGTCTTTGCTTAAACCCTACCCTACTGTCGTAGTCCCTAATGCAACAGAGAAGGCACCACGGTTTCTGTCCTTCCCCGCAGTATCTGGAAGCCTCTGCTAGCTCAGAGATATAGATCAGAGAAACCAAGCTAATTTAGCCAAAAATTTATTAACTGACTTTTGTACTGGCTCAAAGAGCTGGAGAAATTTCTTTTTACTGGCTGACTGATTAGCTGACTATTGCTGGGAGTGACCGCAGGGTCCCATGCATACAGGACAAGCACTCTACCACTGAGCTACCTTCCTAGTCCTATTTGAGCAATTTAAGTAACCAGACTGCTAAACAGATTCCCATTTATAGGGGCAAATTATTTCTTCCTTTATTAAAAAATATTTCTTGAGCCCCTCCCTGTATCAAGCATTATGTCAAATTTTGGGCTACAGTGGCAGCTAAAATAACTTGGAAATATATCAGCGCAGTTTCTCCAATTTAGGGGGAAAAACAAATAGAGCCTAATATATTGATTGATGTCCATTCCTTACAAAAGCTCTTTTTGAGACAAGGTCTTGCTGTGCAGTTCAGGCTGGCCTTGAGCTCACTTTGCAGCCCAGGCTGGTCTCAAACTTGCAACAGTCCTCCTGCCTCAGCCTCCCGAGTGCTAGGATTACAGGTGTGTGCCATCACACCCGGCTATAACAAAGTATTCTTATCTCCATTTTTACTCTTGCTCTGTCGTAGAAGCTCAGATGTTTTCTTATCAAGAGGACCTATTTCCATTTTTCCACAAAGAGTTCCAAAGTGTAAGCCTTATAGGATACCATTTAAAAATTGACTATAGTAAATAATCTAACCATTGTACCAATTGAGTAATGACCAAGAGGTAGTTTAAAATCTCTTTTGTAATATAAGGGATTTTGGGATAAGGAAAGAGGAAAAAGTAACTTGGGTACAAGTATTTCATATCAACTCATCCAGAGTTTAGTATCTAAATGTCCTACTTATGTCATTTCTACTTTTTGTTACTGCCTTATCTGCTCACTTAGAAGACTTTCATGTGATGTCCAAACCCTAAGGAAGTCTGGGGAGAGACTTAGGCACAGGCGAAGGAATCTTATTTTTTAGTTCCAAAATGATGTTTTCTGTGATAGTACAGAATGGAAGACAAAGTACCAGGGCGTTCACACCAACCCGCCCGGCTGTGCGACCCTTAACGGTGGGGACAGTTCTCCCTGCAGGAACCGACACGCTGTCCTCGGCTGTCACTGCAGGACCCTGTCCTGCTGAGAGAGGCAGTCACGAAAGGCTGGGGATGCTAGCGGGTACATCGGGATTGTCCTATTCAGCCAATTCTCCAGCAAGAGGAAGAAACTGTCAGAGCACAACCAGGAACCTGAAATTCTGTGGGACATTTGGTGAGACTGAGAGGAGGGCCCCTTACATCTTTCATAAGGAGACTTTCTCTAGGTTGGAAGCGCGGCAGTTTTCAGCCTGTTAGCAGAGTTACCAGGGAGATCTAAGGAGGTGGCTGAGGGCTTGCAGGTCCAGCCTTCCTGTCCGTTGAGAGTTAGCTCAGTTGTGATCCTTTTTCTGAAGGCTTCCTTAGTTGTTAAACTCAGGGGACATTTTTTCTTCTTCACAACAAATTCCCGTCCTCTGCCACTAAGTACCATGTCTCTTATATTATCTACATGTCTAGACTTCACATGAAGTCCCTTAAAGACAGGATCCCCAGTGGATTCACCTGTATATCCCCCGAATACTCTATACTATGCGCAGGAAAAACTAGGTGCTTAAAACAATGATAATGAAACATACTTAGGTCCAACTGTAAAGAAGACCTGAGGTTCCTCAAATAAGCGCAACCTAAATGCTAAGCAGGGTTTCCTATGGTCTTGGAAGGGAGGTGGCTTGTGGAAGGCCGAGGTAAAAGCCAGGATGAGGACTACTGGCCATGACAGCTGAAGGAAACACGTAAGCAGTACGCTGAGTGGAAGGTAACTTTTCAGATCATTATCCACGCAAGTATTTGTTCTACACGTCATTAAAACGTCGGCCATGTCAAAACATTCCTTTCTATGACCATCTTTCTTTTATGTCACGTTAGTGAAAAATCAAAGCAGGCAGGTCTGCTATTAGTGTCTGTGCTTCATGCGCCAGGGTGCCGAAGCCAAGCGGGTGAATGATTCAAAGTGTTTGCCTTTTTATCTTTAGGAATCTGCCTCCTCGTGACTAGGGAGTACCAAAGCAATGTTATTTCATTTTCCATGAGAATGCACTAAATAGAAATAAAAACTCAACTTGTACTATTAACAGCCATCATTTTATAAGAAACCAGTGTTTTAAAAGACACGAGGTCTCTTCTAAGTACACATTGTTATTATTAATTGTCATGAAAGGGATTGTTATGTATTATAGGCTCATTATATTAGGATATTAAAGACGAGGATGCGACATCTGGCTTGTGTTTGGAAATATGTTTGATAGTATTCTATGAAGTCTCTCTCATTATGTTTAATTTGGCTTGTGCAGTCATATTGTGGTTTTGACAGAAATACAGGTAAACAAAGTTAATAATATACCAAAAAGATGAAGGAGGGAAGTAGTCCCAGGTCTTGCAGGGTCAAGTTTAGTACATTAAAAAACAAAACAAACTTGACTTTTTATTCTCCATGAAAAATTTAACTTTAAAACACAACTCTATTGCAGTCTAAGTTTCTGCACTTGCGGTACATATGACATGGGAACAATGGTATGAGTGTAATCACAGTAGACTGTAATATGCTTACTATCTTACAGATAAGGAGCACTAGGCACAGTGAGAAAACTTAGCCCAGGTTCTCTGGAGAATTACTAGTGGCCCAAATGATGATGCATATTCTCACCCACACTACTAAAATATACTTCCCAAAAGGGTGACTGAATTTTTACAGCTTATAAGTTGTACAGAGAATAAAATACAAAATATTTCAGAATCTTTAATCTTTTTGAAGTCATTAAACATTAATGTATCTATATTAAAAACTACACAAATCTGACTTCATATTGGGCACTTTTATTTGTAGGTAAGGAAAACAGAATCATAGCTTCTATTTAAAATAAGAAAATGTGTAAAACACGTATTTCCTCACTAGACTATTTTCTATACCATTTGTAATTCAATGTAAGTTCTTTAGTTTTTATTTCAAAAGAGATTAAAATTTTGTGGTTCCAATCCAAAAATGAGACAGGAAATGAAAAGACACTTCTCCGATGAACAAGTAGAAATAGCAAATAAAGGTCATCTGAGGGATGCAAATTAAAACAACACTGAGATTCCATCTCACTCCAGAAAGAATGACTATTTTTAAGAGATCAACCAATAACTCATGCTGGTGGGGCTGTGGGGGAAAAAGGAACCTTTCTCTAGTGCTGGTGGGAATGTAGACTGGTGCAACCACTGTGGAAATCAGCGTGGAGATTCCTCAAAAAACTAGGACCAGAAGTGCCCTTTGACTCAGCTATTCCCCCTCTGGGTATCTTCCCAAAAGAATTAGAAGTATGGTACCACAGTGATATAGGCACACCCATGTTTATGATAGCACAATTTGTAATAGCTACACCTTGGAAACAGCCCAAATGCCTATCACCCGATGCATGGGTAAAGAGGATGTGTTTTTCAATACCATGAAGTACTACTCTGTCATAAAGAAGGATAAACTAGAGACATTTTTAGGTAAATGGATGCACCTGGAGACTACTCTTAAATGAAATACATCAGACGTGACGTGTTTAAATATTGCCTTGTTTCTCGCTGTAGGAAATCAAAAGTGTAAATAAGGACTAAAATGTATAACATATCGGGAAATGGAAAGAAAATATTCAAATGAGAAGAGGAACAAGGTAGGGGAGAAGGGGAAAGGAAGGAAGGGAAAAGAAAAAAAGAGAATAGAAGGAGAAGAATAGGCCTGGGTGTGGTGGCACACACCTGTAACCCCAGCACTTGGGAGGCTAAAGCAGGAGGATTGCCGAGAGTTTCAGGCCAGCCTGGGCTACATAAGTGAGTTCAAAGCCAGCCTGAACTACACAGAAAGATCCTGTCTCAAAAAAAAAAAAAAAAAAAAGTGAAACAAAGTTTTTGTAAATAAGCAGGAGTTAGGGGGTTGACGGGATGGAAGGCGACTGGGGAAACAAGAACCACCAAGATATATTATGCACAGTACACATTCCCTCTGATGAATGTTATCAACATTTATATCTAAAATGTGCTAATAAAAAATGAAAATTAAGCTCCAGATCTATAAGAAAGAATTTTGTAGCTCCAGAAATATAAAAAAGATGGCACTAAAATGTCCTAGATGGTGGTTATCTTATCCCAAGGTCCTTCTATGCTTCCCCTGTGTCCTCAGCTATCGTCTTCACAGAGACTACACGAGTGAGACTGCACAACAGTAAAAAATGCAACCGGGAATATTCATGTCAGAAGTTGAAAATCAGTTCTGTAAAGCAAGGCCCCAGAGTCCTTATCTCTGGCATGCTCAGTATGGAATTTGTAGTTGGATATCATTCAGCCACTAGAGAAAGGCATTCTCCAATGACAGCCTTATCAGAATAACACTTAGTAGGCTTCCTCTGCAGGGACTAGCAGTTGATTACGTAAGACTGAAGTGAGAACTTTCACCAGTTTGCTCAGAAATTATTTCCCCATCACAGCTGGACCACTGGTTAGGTCTTCCACGAGCAAGGGAATTCTGGAGGAATGAACTGGGGTCTGCTTGTGAGTTTCAAAGCAGGACCTAGTAGAAGCTGATTTCTAAGCAAAGACCATCAGTTCATTTAATTTTCAAGAAAAATTTCATGTAAACACTCCTTTTTGTCTTTTTCTTTTAGTTTATTAGTGCATGTTCGCAGGACACAGTGTGTACGCTCCTCCTGTGGCGTTGGTACACGCGTGTGCCTCATCTCAATTCCGCTCTTCATACCCTGTCCTCCTCCCTCCACCCTCTCCAGCATCTCCTGACCCCTTTCCTTTCTCGGGGTACGTGTCTGCAGTACAAAATGTTTATGACCCCTAAGGGATGAAAAAAAAGCAACTGGGATACGTCAGCCCTTTGATTTTACCATGCTCGTTTTGCTTAGGTTGTTTAGGCTGCTTTTCGTTGTTTCTATTTTTTTTTAATAAACTGAGATAAAAGATTCAACAGGGGTTTCATAATCCACAGTAGGTGAAATCTCATTTATAGCGTAATTTGATTCTTATACATGCATAAGCAATAGTCTTTAAATGATAACTTGACTCTTCTCAAATTGTACTAGGACACTATGAATACCATTTATCTTAACACTGACATTTTATGATTAGCTCTGTTAATGGTACAGCATTTTCATGCATTTAAAAATTTTGTTCTAGTTTTGCCATTCACAACGTTTGACTCAGTTCAAATCAACAAATATTCAAGCCTACATGAGAGAAGGATGGAATGATATTACGTTTTCATATAATAAGCTAAGTTCATTTTAAGAGTAAAAGTTAACATTGGGATTCAAAAACCTAAATTTTCAAAGTTACTGTTGATTTAACCAATATATTACTTAGGCCACAGGACTGCCCATTAGTCTCTCTTGTCGAAGAGCAATTAATCTCTTGAACCACTTTTCTTCAGCTTCAGCTTTTTCAATAAATAACTGAAATAAAAAAGGAAAAGAAAAATATTATTATCTACCAATAACTTGGATTTGACTTAATATGATACAAACCACCTTTATGAAATACATGCTTTAGCATAAGATTCAGACATTGTTTAATCCTTAATGACTACTGAAAGTCCATCTTTTAGGAATTAGAAACGCTCTAAAAGTCTTAAAAGGACTAACATTAACACCACTGGTTAACAATTTTCACCCTATTTTTGTGAGTTCATTTCCTATAACCCTTCTGAGAGACAAATGGAATTGAACTCTTAAGACAGCAAAATATGGTATTAGTGACACGCTTACAAAGAATAAACTAGAGCTAAGAAAGAATTAGAACTTTCAAGTCAGATTAAAAAACAAACAAACAAAATAAAATTTCTTTTTTCTTAAACACAGAATACTACCACAAGTCAGGCAGCATGAATTCGGTATATCAGATTCAAATATAAGTAATAGGCTGGAAGGCCTGTAGGTCAGTTGCCGATTATTAGCAAATAATACATGAACCCATTTCCTCCTATGGCCTTATTGGTGCAGGAACAAAAGGACAAGAGTTTAAATAAATTTCAGGTAACAAGACTTCAGTTGACACTCATACGGTTTAAAGATCTTACATTTGGATGAGCCAGAGAGTTGTCATCTTGGTACTTGATAGCAGTGGGGATGCTGCCAGGGTCTATTTCTTTTTCAACACTGGGTGGATCAGCAACCACAGGTGCTGGTCCTGATACCGGAGCTGTGTGTTTCACTTCACTTGGTTCCACTGACTGAAAGAGTCAACACATAGTAAGTTACACATGGTCCACCTTAATAATATTTTTGACACTGAATAATGATTGGTCAATTAGTCTCTTCTGAAATATCTATCTCAAAAAAGCTCTACTTTATGGAATGAGACAATTATTCTTTGAACAAACAACACAAAAATGTTGAAGAAATGTTTATTATTTCTTATGATCAGCATATTTTTCTTAAGAAATCAGAAATCAGTCTGTTATTGAAACATACTGTATACGTACGCTATGTCTAAGTTCTAATAAAATAAGCTTGCAACAAGTATCTAGTATTTAGTTTGTCTCCTTCAACATAAAGAAAATTACAAGGTAATCTTTAAAAAAATGTATATGTAAACTTATTTAAATACAATCCACCAAACTAAAGTACATAAATCAGTGGGCATTGTGCATATCCACAGAATTGTGCAACTATTATCCTAGTCAACTTCAGGATATCTTTATCATAACTCCTAAAAATCCTCCATGTTCATTAGCAGCACATCTCAATCCTGCCAACCTCATCCCCAGGGAACCAACATGTCTGTTTTCTCTAGAGATTTGTCCATTGTAGATATTTCACACAATACATGGCCTTTTGAGACTGGCTATTTCACTTAGCATAATGTTTTTAAGCTCATCCATGTTGTAGCATGTATCAGTACTTCATTCCTTTTGACTGTTAATTAATATTCCATTATATGTATCTACTATATTATTATTGCTATTCCATTCATCAGCTGACATACGCGTAGGTTTTTAAGGTTATATAAGACATTTAAAAATAAAAGATTGGAAAAAAATTGTGACGTAGCCTGATAAGAAATAAAACTAGAATTTCTTTTTTTTTTTGGTACTGGAAATGGAACTCAGGACCTTGCACTTGCCAGGCAGGCGCTTGTGCCACTGAGCTATATCCCCAGCCCCAAAACTAGAATTTCTTATACTTGCTTCCAAACTAGGCCCACAATTAATTGCACATTTAGTGAGCATTCACCCTGTGACATGCAGTGCACTGTATACTGGGGATGCGGAGACTGATTAGTCATTGTTCCTGCATTTAAGGAGCCAACAGCATAGAGCTTGTTCAGGTAAGTGTGACTCTTTCCTGAGAAAGGAGGTGGCCGGGAAATTGATTCAGGCAAGGTTGAAAGAATGAGGTGGATTAGCTAAGAATCTGAAATTTAAAGCTGAAGTATAATTTTAAAAAGACAATTGGGAATTAATCACACTACATAGCCTTGTCCTAGATCTACTGCTTTTATACCTATTTTTTAATTTCCATTTTTTTTTACTTATATATGACGTTCACTTCTTTAAAGTATAAAACAGATGTCACTGGGAAAAATTTCTGGATAACGATAAATGCATGGCTAGTCCTTTCTTAATTTACCTTAGAAATGGATATGTATCCATTCAGCCAGTACTAGTGAGCACTCCTAATTGCTAAGTACTGGGTCCAGAGGGAGAAGAAAGTAGACGTGGTCTCTGAACCAATGGGAGATTATGGGTTGGTCGAGAGTTGACAGGTTATAGACAAACACATCATAAATATACCACCACAAATTGCAGTATATGATCTCAAAGGATAAATACGGTGCTGACACAGAGGAGGACGGAGGCTGGAGAGAGGGATCTACCTAACAGTGGGTGGTTAGGAACATCATCAAGAGGTAAAAGTTAAGACCTGAAGAATGAGAGAGCAAGGCACAGGGAGAAAAAGAAGGAGAGCGCTTGGGCCAGAGATCGGTGAGCACAAAGCCCCTGAGGGGACACGGTCAGAAAGGAGGCCACAGTAGCTTGCAAGCAGTGGAAGGGACGCTTGGACACTGCATCCCAGAGCTTGGGTCGCTGCTTGCTCACCTCAGCCACATCACCACCCTGCATGGGCACCGCCTCCCAGCCACAGCAGGAAAACGCTACCCGCCGGAGGGCGGGGGAATTGTGGGGCTCATCTTCGGTTTCCCTTCTCCTAAGACCGTCAGCCTATTCAGTACCTGAGAACAACAGTACTTCATACTTCTGCTCAACTTCCATAACTGTTTATGGTAGAAGGGAAAGTTTGATATCACTTATTCTGGGATGACTGGGAGCAGAAATCTAACTAACTTTTGATGCCAAGATCCACCCCTTCTTTTCAGTATGTATTTTACTGAATTACAAACACTCATTTAAAATTTTTATGTTGGGCTGGGGATTTAGCTCAGCGGCAAAAGCGCCTGCCTGGCAAGCGCAAGGTCGTGAGTTCGGTT